AAAAAAAAAAATTTAAAAAGTTTTTTTGTAGAGATGTGGTCTCACTTTGTTGCTTAGGCTGGTCTATTCTTTTTGTTAAAAGAGACATTCCCAATAAAATGTTGTTTTATGTATAATGACTCTGAAAAGCTGTAACATAAAAAAATTGCACCAGCGTGGTGGTATGCACCTGCAGTCCCAGCTGCTCAGGAGGCTGAGGTGGGAGGATTGCTTGAGGCCAGGAGTTCAAGGCCAGCCTAGGCAACATGGCAAGATCCCATCTCTAAGAAAAAAAATATTATTCATGAATAGTTTGATGCCTAAGAAGGTTGTAATATATATAGGTTGTTTTGATAAATTGTGTACTGCTACTAATTATGATTATTCAATCTAAAACAATTTTTAAAAGGCCATAGAAAAATTTAAAAAATTTTAAATTTATATATGTATTTTTGTTGAAGAAAAGAATAATGAAGTGAATAAAACTTGAAAGGTTAAAACTATATTGCATTTGTATAAATTATTGTGAGGGTAGTCAAGTCAAACTACAAGTTCAAGGAGAAAGGGCAATTATGTAAAATATCTTGGTTTTTTTCTTTTTTTTTTGAGATGGAGTTTCACTCTTGTTGCCCAGGCTGGAGTGCAATGGCATAATCTCGGCTCACCGCAACCTCTGCCTCCTGGGTTCAAGCGATTCTCCTGCCTCAGCCTACTGAGTAGCTGAGATTAAGGCATGAGCCACCACTTCTGGCTAATTTTCTATTTTTAGTAGAGACAGGGTTTCTCCATGTTGGTCAGGCTGGTCTCAAACTCTCAACCTCAGGTGATCCACCTGCCTTGGCCTCCCAAAGTGCTGGGATTACAGGCATGAGCCACTGTACCTAGCCCCTGTATTTTTAAAAAAATGATGAGGTAGATATCTGTGAAAACATGTTTTCTTCTATGGTTCCTGGCTTATGACTCCAATAGCCCATGTTATAATGTTGGGGTGCTTTAGGACCCAGAAGCAGGCTTCAGAGAACAGAATCTCTGTGGGGCATGATAGCTCAGGACCGTAATCCCAGCACTTTGGGAGGCTGAGGCAAGTGGATCACCTGAGGTCAGGAGTTTGAGACCAGCCTGGCCAACATGGCAAAACCCTGTCTTTACTAAAAATACAAAAATTAGCCAGGCATGGTGGTGGGCACCTGTAATTCCAGCTACTTGGGAGGGTGAGGCAGGAGAATCGTTTGAGCCCTGAAGGCAGAGGCTGTAGTGAGCTGAGATCTTGCCACTGCACTCCAGCCTGGGCGATAGAGTGAGACTCCATCCACCACCCCTCAAAAAAAAAGAAAAAGAGAAGAAAGCAGAATCTCTGTCTCTGACCTTCTGTTGCCTTCCTTTTTCTCTCAAAAGTAGGAATCTTCTTCCCCCACCATTCCATCTTGGAGCCTGGCGGTAAAGAAATTCTCTGACCCAGGCTGGGTACAGTGGCTCACGGCTGTAATCCCAGTACTTTAGAAAGGAGGCCGAGGCAGGTGGATCATGAGGTCAGGAGATCAAGACCATTCTGGCCAACATGGTGAAACCCTATCTTTTCTAAAAATACAAAAATTAGCTTGGTGTGGTGGTGCACCTGTAGTCCCAGCTACTCAGGAGGCTAAGGCAGGAGAATTGCTTGAACCAGAGAGTCAGCAGTTGCAGTGAGCTGAGATTGTGCCATTGCACTCCAGTCTGGTGACAGAGTGAGACTCCATCTCAAAAAAAAAAAAAAAAAAAAATCTACCTTGTCTAATTGTAGATTATAAGACCCTCATTTCAGAAGGGGTCCTGCCCCATACCTGGTGGAAGGAATGCTGCACAGAGATGCAAAGAAGAATCTGAACAGACAGGCCTGGCTGGGTTTCCCTACTCAGTCTATTAGTATTAGGTCATATCATTTTTGTCCAGTCACATTTCTGCAAGATTGTCCATGTTTCAATCATGTCTTTGCACTGAAGTCTTCATAAAAGGCCTAAGAGGATGGGGGTACAGATAGCTTCTAAGTGGCTGAGCAAATAGAGGTTTCAGGAGGGTGTCATCCCTAGGGAGGGCATGGAAGCTCCATGTCCCTTTTCACTCTTTGCCCCATGCAGCTCTTCATCTGTATCTTTTGTAATATGCTTTATGATATATCAGTAAACTGTTTCCTTGAGTTCTATGAGTTGCTCTAGCAAATTAATTGAACTGAGGAGGGAGTCATGGATCCCCAGTTTACAGTTAGTTGATCAGAAGCCCAGGTTAAATAACCTGGAGCTTGCAGTTGGCATTGTAAGTTGTGGGGCAGTCTTGTGGGATTGAACCCTCAACTGTGTGATGTGACAGTATCTACAGGTAGATGGTGTTGGAGTTGAATTGGAGGATACCTAGCAGGTGTCTGCTGCAGAATTGCTTGCTTGCTTGTTGTATGGGGAGAACCTACCTTCTGCCTCCACTTGGTCTCAGAAGTCTTCTGTTTGTTTGTTTGTTTTTTGAGAAAGAGTCTTCACTCTGTTGCCAGGCTGGAGTGCAGTGGCGCAATCTCAGCTCACTGCAACCTCCGCCTCCCAAGTTCAAGCAATTCTCTTGCCTCAGCCTCCTGAGTAGCTGTGATTACAGGTGTGTCCCACCACACACAGCTAATTTTTGTATTTTTAGTAGAGACAGGGTTTCACCCTGTTGGCTGGGCTGGTCTCGAACTCCTAACCTCAAGTCATCTGCCAGCTTTAGCCTTCCAAAGTCCTGGAATTACAAGTGTGAACCACCAGGCCCAGCCTAAAGTCTTCTATTTTGATTGTGATGTAAACCCAGAGAAAAAAAAAAGTTTGTGTTTTTAACCTCACAGTGTCAAGTAAGTATCTTACTTAGAAAAAATCTTATTTAGATTCTATACATTTTAAAAAGTGATAAAAGTATTTAAAAATGCTGATATTTACAATAGAATTTGTTGTCAAAATTTTCCCTTTTTAATTATTTAAGCTATGAGAAAAAATTTTAGATGCCAACATAAAAATGCATTATTGGATTGCAGTGTTTTTCAAAATTCTTTTAGGGGAACATGAACTTTGAAGTCATTGTCTAAAGGAACCCAGAAGAGATAGGATATTACGGTATAGGCTATACTTTCAAAACGGGGAAGATGGTCTCCTAATAGCCATGGTTTAGTTTTATATTGGACCAGGTCAGCTTTTTGCCTTTTTTCCAATGGTTTTTGAGAGGGAAAATAAAGTGGATGGTGGGGTTTGCACAATATTGTGAATCGACAGGCACATTTTGTAAGATAAAAACCCAGGGAAAAAAACTTGAAGGTGCTCTAGTAAGAATTCATTGCCAGGCCAGGCATAGGCTCATGTCTGTAATCCTAGCACTTTGGGAGGCCAAGGTGGGTGGATCACCTGAGGTCAGGAGTTTGAGACCAGCCTGGCCAATATGATGAAACCCTGTCTCTACTAGAAATACAAAAAATTAGTCAGGTGTGGTGGTGTGCACCTGTAATCCCAGCTACTTGGGAGGCTGAGGCAGGATATTAGCTTGAACCTGGGAGGCGGATGTTGCAGTGAGTCACGAGATCGCACCATTGCACTCCAGCTTGGGCAACAAGAGCGAAACTCAGTCTCAAACAAAACAAAACAAAAAAAAGAATTTACTGCCATCCCTGGGCTTTAGCCTAAGACTGGAGCAAGTGATACTCAGGAGAGGACACATGGACCAGAAAGCAGTTGAAACATTTCAGATAATGAGACTCTAAAATGTATTCTGAGTTCACAGGAATTAGAGAGTAAAATATGGAAGGATTCTAATCATGGTTAGAGACGGATGTTTCTGAGTGTGATTTTTTAGAAAGTGCAATGTTTTGAGTCATGATGGCTTTATGTGCAGTGAAATATGTCTTTAATAAATAACTGACTGAAAAGAGCAGAGATGAAGATCAGAAGTTTGAACTACACTGGCTGGTTGGACCCAGTCCCTGACTTTTTCACAACCAAAACAAATGGCATATGAGATTTATTTATGTAGAATTTTGGCTTGTCTGGAACTCTGGAGGTCCAAATTGAATTCAATTCCAAATGGAATCACTTGGGATAATTTAATTCTCTAGACAGTTTAGAATTAATCTTTTTAGGCACCTAAAATTACTTCTTATAATCATTTTAGATGAAAGGCCTACTAAAATATACTCCATACTTTCTTGTTTTTTGATGCTAATATACTTGAGATAATTTTACTACATTTTTTTCCCTTTTTTTTTGTAGAGACAGGGGCTTATTATGTTTCCCTAGGCTGGTCTTGAATTCCTGGCCTCAAGCCATCCTCCTGCTTCAGCCTCTTAAGGTACTAGTATTACAGGTGTGAGCCATCGTGCCTGGCCATAATTTTACTGTTTTTTAAGGTTAGGATTAGCACCACGAACATCATCTATCTAAGAGAAATGACTTCAGGACCTATGGAGTCAGCAGTGCATTTTGTACTTTATAAATATTCCCAGAATTTACCTTTTTTTTTGAGATAGAGTTTTGCTTTTTTGTCCAGGCTGGAGTGAAGTGACATGATCTTGGCTCACTGCAACCTCTGCCCACCCTTCCCTCTACCCCAGGCGATTCTCCTGCATCAGCCTCTCCAGTAGTTGGGATTACAGGCAGTGCCATGGCTGGCTAATTTTTTGTATTTCTTTTTGAGAGGTAGTCTTGCTCTGTCACCAGGCTAGAGTGCAGTAGTGCGATCTTGGCTCACTGCAACCTCTGCCTCCCGGGTTCAAGCGATTCTCCTGCCTCAGCTTCCTGAGTATCTGGGACTACAGGTATGCACCACCACACCCAGCTAATTTTTGTATTTTTAGTAGGGACAGGGTTTCACCATGTTGGCCAGGATGGTCTCAATTTCTTGATCTCATGATCCGCCTGCCTTGGTCTCCTAAAGTGCTGGGATTACAGACGTAAGCCACTGCGCCCAGACTTCTAATTTATTTTTATTTTTATTTTTAGTAGAGATGGGGTTTCACCCTGTTGCCCAGGCTGGTCCTAAACTCTTGACCTCAGGTGATCCACCTTCCTCGGCCTCCCAGAATTCTAGGATCACAGGCATGAACCACCACACCTAGCTCAGAATTTACATTTTGAGTTATTATATGTTAATTTATTTATGATTTTTTGTACAGATGGGGGTCTTGCTATGTTGCCCAGGCTGGTCTCAAACTCCTGGCCTCAAGTGATCCTTCTACCTCACCCTCCTGAGTATCTGGGATTACAGGTGTGAGCCTAGCTGCTGTTTCTTTTTCCTTTTCTTTTTTTTTTTTTTTTTTTTTTTTTTTTGAGACAGGGTCTCACTCTGTTGCCCAGGCTGGAGTACAGTGGTGTGATCTCTGCTGATGGCAACCTCTGCCTCCCATGTGCATGCAATCCTCCCATCTTAGCCTTTCTAGTACTGACACCACAGGTGTACACAACTACACCTGGATGACTTTTTGATTTTTTGTAGGGATGGTATCTTGCTAGATTGCCCAGGCTGGTCTTGAATTCTTGGGCTCCGGGGATCCTCCTGCCTCAGTCTTCCAAAATGTTGGGATTACAGATGTGAGCCACTGTGCCCAGCCCTGTCTAGCTTGTTTTATTTTTTTTATTTTTTATTTTTTTTTTGAGACGGAGTTTTGCTGTTGTTGCCCAGGCTGGAGTGCAATGGCGCGATCTCGGCTCACCGCAACCTCCACCTCCTGGGTTCAAGCAATTCTCCTGCCTCAGCCTCCCAAGTAGCTGGGACTACAGGCATGCACCATCATGCCCAGCTAATTTTTTTTTGCATTTTTAGTAGAGACGGGGTTTCACCTTGTTGACCAGGATGGTCTCGAACTCTTGACCTCGTGATCCACCCGCCTCGGCCTCCCAAAGTGCTGGGATTACAGGCTTGAGCCACCGCGCCCAGCTAGCTTGTTTTAATAATTTGTCTGCTTCTTTGTTTTTAGGTGTCTGTTAGCACTTGTCAACCATGTATCTGCCCAGAAGAAGAATGCTTTAAGATATTCTGCTTTAACTATGGACACAAGATTTTAAAAAAATCTTATTAGATCTGTATATGCATTTGATGTGAAGGCAGCCTACACGAGAGGAGAGGGGACAGATTTTTAGTTCTCAGATTTTATGATATCCTATTTTGGTTTCTTAGTAGCCTCTTCTCTGGCTCCCATTTCCTTTAGGAAATAAGAATGTCTTCACCCTTGGACCTTGTACATGGCCTATGTTACAACAGGAATGACATATAGTGATCAGAAGTAGCATGTAAGTTGCTATAAACTACTCTATGTAATGAGACTTTAAGACTTTTTGCTTAACAATTCCACATCTACATATAGAAATATGTGATTACATAAAGATATGTGTAAGACTGTTTTACAGTAGTATTGTTTGCTTTAGAAAAAAATTGTTAACACTCTAACTGCTCATCAATAGGGAATGGTTAAATATATCTTGTTGGTACTTATCATGCAGCCATTAAAAAAAAATGAGATAGTTCTGTACATACTGATCCTAGTGATTAAGCAAGCAGACTCTGGATCCACGCTGCCCAGTTGAAGTCCCAGCTCCACCACTTACTTTCCAGTTTGTGGCACACTAGACGTGTTCCTCAACCACGCAGTGCCCTAAAAATCCCTATTTTATAAGATTGTTGTGGGGATTAGATGAATTCAAGTAAAACACTAGAATGGTGCCTGGCATAATTAATATTACATTAGCCATTATTATCACTACTGATACGAAAGCCATTAATACATTATTTGGCGAAAAGATAATGTTACATAACAGGGGAAGTAGAGTTCCATTTTTGTCAAAACAAAAATCTGTGTACACGCATTCACATGATTTGTACACGCAGAGAACCTGGAATTTCTACATGGGAGAAACTAAAGATTTGTCAACTAGTCTTGCCTGGAGGTTAAAATTGCCTAACAGGCTGGGTGCAGTGGCTCACACCTGTAATCCCAGCACTGTGGGAGGCTCAGGCAGGTGGATCATCTGAGGTCGGGAGTTTGAGACCAGCTTGGCTAACATGGTGAAACTCCGGTTCTACAAAAAACAAACAAACAAAAAAATAAATAAATAATTAGCCGGGCATGGTGACACATGCTGTAATCTCAGTTACTCAGCAGACTGAGGCAGGAGAATCACTTGAACCCAGGAGGCAGGGGTTGCAGTGAGCCGAGATTGCGCCATTGTACCCTAGACTGGGCAACAAGATCAAAACTCCGTCTCAAAAAAAAAAAAAAAAAAAAAAAAAAAAAAAATGCAAAAAAAAACCAATAAATTTTTTTTTTTTTTTTTGAGACAGAGTTTTGCTCTTGTTACCCAGGCTGGAGTGCAATGGCGCGATCTCGGTTCACCGCAACCTCCACCTCCTGGGTTCAGGCAATTCTCCTGCCTCAGCTTCCGGAGTAGCTGGGATTACAGGCACGCGCCACCATGCCCAGCTCATTTTTTGTAGTTTTAGTAGAGACGGGGTTTCACCATGTTGACCAGGATGGTCTCGATCTGTTGACCTCGTGATCCACCCGCCTCGGCCTCCCAAAGTGCTGGGATTACAGGCGTGAGCCACCGCGCCCGGCACAAAATCATGTTTATTCACTTGGATTTGGTATTTATTTGGGGTGGCTTTGGAAGGATCCATTTGAGATCATGGGAATCAAATTTCCCCAAACCAGTCTTTAGTGCAGCTACTTTCTATGGTCACAGAAATAGGAAAGGTTGAATGTACCAAACTGTTAATGGGGATTATTTATGGGCATGAGTGTATTTATGATCATGAGTGAGATGAGGGGGTTGGTGGGTATGAAGTTGGGGGAAGACCTTTATACACTGCTGTGTTGTTTGTAAATAGTTCAGCGTGCATTTATTTTGGAGCAACATCAAATAAAAGAGGAGAGTACAAGAAAAAAGGGATTGGTTAACTTAATGTACTATGAAGTTACTAACAAAAGAGGGTGATGGTGGTGCAGTGTTTTGAATTAACATGGAACAATGTGTTTGAGGGAATCATTGATCCAGAACATGGATTTTTATTGCATGAAACCTGTCCCCATCACAGCCATACATAGGATTGTATATGTGTGTCCAGAGAAAAGGTCTTCTGCACACTTAACTGTTAACTGTTAGTCATAATTTCTCTGCAGAGTGGGATGGTGGGGCTAGGAGGAAGGACTTTCACTTTTCATTTTATAATACTCCAAATCATTTGCATTTTTTACAAAGATCATGTATAATTTCTATAATAAAACAATAAAGGAAATAAGAATGACTTCATTGTACTTTGTACATGGCCTTTGTTACACAGTAATGACATATATTCCATTTTCAAGACATTACTTAGGGATTTATAGATTTCTGCTTTAAGGAATAAATGCAATTTCAATCCATTTAAGAGTCGATTCCTTCTTATACCAAAAAAAAAAAAAAAAACAAAAAACTGATCTTGTATCTGATTTGTTATGACAATACCATCACTTAAAGTACAGCAATTATGCAACCCCTTAATTTGAATTTCATTTTGCAAGTGTACAAGACCTCACGGACAAAGGGAAGGCAGAAAGTTAAAATCAGCATATCTAAAATCACTCTGGTTACCAAAAAGACGTAGGGTATCTCAACAAAATCTTAGAGCTCACATAGGCATAGATACTTCCCTGTAAACTTTAGGAATCTTGCTCATCTAACTTTTGCAGGGCTGAGTGAACCCCCTGCTCCCGTCAGTCGTTTCGGGAGCACCAGCAACCTCCACCCCAGCACGGGACTGTAGGGGGCCACTGCGGCGCAGGGGCTCGCCCGGCACTGAGTCAGCGCCCGGCCCGAGAAGTTCGGCGGGAGGCGCAGGGCGGGGCTTCCTCCCGCTGACTCCTAGCCGGGCTATACTTTTCCGAGTCCACGTCTCTTCCTTTGGACAGGCGTGTTTCCCCAGGTCGGGCCCAGCCAGCGTGACAGCCGCAGACCTCGGAAAAGGGTGCTCCGGCCCCGCCTCAAGGACTTCCCCTAGCCACCAGGGCAGCCCGGGCCCGCTCGGCCCAGGACTGAGACTCACTGGGCCCGGCCCGCCGAACGCCTCGCTCCACAGCGCTCACCTCGCGGCGCCGAACGCAGCGTCCGCGGCATGGAGACCGGCTCCGACTCAGGTCAGAGGCCCGCGCCAGGCTGGCTCCGCGCGCGCGGCGGGGCAGTTAGGCCGGGCCGCCCGCGCAGACCGCCGCGTGCCGGGTCCGCGCGGGGAGCGCACGCGGGGCGGGCGGCGACAGGTGGGCAGGACGAGCCGCGAGCGAGCGAGGGCGGGCGGGCGCGCGAGGGGCCCGGCGGGGGGGCCGCTGGGAGGATGGCTCAGCTCTTTCTAAATATAAAACCGGCGTGAGCTGTGCAAGCGCGGCGCGGAGTCGCAGAGCCGCCGCGCGGGCCTGGCGCACGGGGATTCGGCCGCACAGACGGCGGCGGCGGCGGCGGCGGCAGCGGCTCCGCAGAGGCGCGAGGCTGCGGGAGCGCCCGAGTCGCGAGCTCGCGGGGGCAGCGAAGAGCGACGCTCGCAACGCGGAGGACGCAGGCGGCGGCGGCGGGCGGGCCTCGGGGCGCAGCGCGGTCCGCGCCGAGTGACCGGAGGCGGCTCCCGGCCTCTGCCACACCGCGAGCCGCGAGCCCCCTGGCCGCACCCTTCCCCCCCCAGCTCCTCCCTCGCTCCCTCCCCGGCGCAACATGGCTGCGGCCGCCGCCTCCGCCTCCCAGGATGAGCTGAGTAAGTGCTGCGGCCGAGCCTGCGGCCGCGAGCTGGAACAGGAGCCGCGCGGGACCTGGGGGCGGCGGCCGGGGCCGGGCAGGAGGGCTGGGGCGCCAGGCCCGGTGGGGGGGGGGCGGCGGCGGCCGCGGAGTGCGGGGGGCTGGGGCGCCCGGGCCTGGTGGGCGGGCGGGGCGCGGGCCGTCGCTGCTGGCGTTTGTAGGCCTCAGGTTTGCACCGTCACGTTGCGAAATTGAAACCGGAGTCCCAGGAGGAGCCACCTCTGGCCGCGATCCGCCCTGGCCCGGGGTGGGGGGAGCCCAGCCCCCTGCCCGCCGAGCTTTGGCTGGCAGGAGGGCCGGAGCCCCGGGTGACGGGCAGTGTCCGTCCGTCCCGTCTGACCCCGCCGTGGCCTCGGGTCCCCGACGGTTGGGCGAGTTCTAGAAATGTAGCTATCGGGAAGGGGGAGAAGGTGCCTTTCTGTGACACTCTACAATATCAGCCGAAAGGTCACGAATAGGCGGTGACCCTCAGGTGGAGTAGGGAGGGCGGGAGGGCGGAGAGGGTCGCCGGAGGAACCGCTGGAGAAACCGCGGGGTGACAGCGCTTTCAGAAAGGAGAGTCAGTGTCCCCTCGACCGTACGCGGTGCAGCCTTCCTGGGGACGGCGGTCCCTGTCCGGGGAGAGCGGTGGTCACCCTGAATCCCAGGCCGCCCCGCCCGCCGCCGGGGTTCGCCTCGATGCTTTGTGGGAAGTGTAGTCCCGGGGCGCCGCGGGCCCACGCTGGGGTCATAAATACTGAATGTTCATAGGACATAGGACATGTGAGATAATTTCTGATTGCGTTTTGGGTGTTTATTTTCCGAGGGTTTTCTTTCTTCCTTTTATTTATTATTTGTCAGTGCTGCCCTTCAGTTTATGGCAAAAACAAGAAAGGTGTTATTTGGAGATGTTGTGGGTTTTAAATGGAATAAAGCATGGATGCGGTGTTGCAAGCTTTATGAAGCTTATGTTGTTAAAGCCGCTTCTGAATTTCCATATGAAAGTAGTTATACACGTAATTTATGTTTCTTTGGTGCTTGTCAGTTTAAAGCTACTTTTATATACATGATCTCACTTTTGCCGTCATAGCAACCTTGTGAGGCAGATAGGTAGGAATTATCCTTGTTTTAAAGAGGAGGCAGGTTTGGAGAGATTAAGTTCCTTGCTGCTTTGACACAGAACTGGGGGAGCAGGAGTACTGTTTGCCCTTTTTGAAGCTGAAGTAAACACTTGGTGTGATCCTGAGCAGATTGGAGAGTCGGAGAAGACAAGGTCTCATGGTGCGATTAGAGATAGAAGTGGGCTGAATAGATTGCTACTCTGACAGTTCCACGTGGAAGCACCACCAGGCCTTCTGAGATCAGTTCTATGTTTTGTTTTGTTTTTAATTTTGATAAAAATACACATACCATAAAATTTACCATCCTAGCCGTTTTTAAGTGTACAGTTCAGTTGGATTGAGTACATTCTCACTGTTGTGTAATCATCACCATCGTCCATCTCTAGAACTCTTCATGTTGCAAAACTGAAACTTGATACCCATTAAACAACAAATCCCTATTCCCTCCTCCCCTTCAATCCCTGGCGACCATCATTCTGCCTTCTGTCCCTGTGATTTTCAGTATGGTTGTACCTCATGTAAATGGAATCATACAGAATTTGTGACTGGTTTTATTTTCATTTAACAAAATGTTCCCCAGGTTCATCCATGTTGTTGCATGTGTCAGAATTTCTTTTCCTTTTAAAGGTTGAATGGTACTCCCTTGTGTGTATATACCACATTTTCTTGTCCATTTATCTGTCTATAGATGCTTGGGTTGCTTCCACCTTGTAGCTATTGGGAATAACGCTGCTGTGAAAATAGCTGTACAAATATCTACCTGCTTTCAGTTCTTTTGGGTACATACCTGGAAATGTCATTCCTGGATCATGTGATAATTCTAGTTTTAAGTTTTTAAGGAACCAGTGGACTGTTTTCAACAGTGGTTGTACTATTTTACATTCCCACCAACAATACACAGGGTTCTAATTTCTCTACATCTTGGCCAACACTTATCTGTATTCTCAAAAGTAACCATCCTGATGGGTGTGAGGTGGTCTGATTATTTTTCTTTCAATTATTATGCTGTATGACATATGAGTTCCTCTTGTAGCACCAAACACATTCAAATCTGAATTGCTAGCAGGAATGGGGAACAAAACTGGAGGAAGAATTGGACATTCTGAAGTGGCTGAAGTATTTGTGTCTATGCAGTGTGCTTCCATACATTCAGGTACTGGTTAAGATGCTGATAGTTAAGGGATTTCCTGGCTTTAGTAGCTAATGGATAGTTAGGAACAAATAATTCCAATCTTTGCCTTCCCCTTGCTTTATTCCGTTAAATTGTCAGTCATTAGCCACGGATAGATACCTGTTGACCTGGTTTCTGTATTTCTTCTTCTTTTTTTTTTTTTTTGAGATAGAGCCTCACTTAATTGCCCAGGTTGGAGTACAGTCGTGTGATCTTGGCTCACCGCAACCTCCACCTCCTGGGTTCAAGCAGTTCTCTGCCTCAGCTTCCAAAGTAGTTGGGATTACAGGTGCCTGCCATCACGCCCAGCTAATTTTTTGTATTTTTAGTAGAGACAGGATTTCACCATCTTGGCCAGGCTGGTCTTGAACTCCTGACCTCTTGATCCACCCACCTCGGTCTCCCAAAGTGCTGGATTACATGCATGAGCCACCATGCTCAGCTGGTTTCCTTATTTCTTAGAAGAGATTGAATACTCTCCTAAGTTGATCACTTAGAATAATTTAACTTGAATGCTTATACATGTACACTGGTTAAGAAGTTTCATACAAAGCACTTTTAGTTTTAGAATGGCTATAATAAAATAGGAGATGGCTGATAAAATGTGCTTTTGGCCGGTTGCGGTGGCTCACACCTGTAATCCCAGCACTTTGGGAGGTCAAGGTGGGTGAATCACCTGAGGTCAGAAGTTTGAGACCGGCCTGGCCAACATGGTGAAATCCCATCTCTACTAAAAATACAAAAATTAGCCGTGTGTGGTGGCATGTGCCTGTAGTTCTAGCTACTCAGGGGGCTGAAGCAGGAGAATCATTTGAATTTGGGAGGTGGAGGTTCTGGTGAGTTGAGATTGTACCACTCCAGCCTGAGCAACAGAGCTAGACTCTGTCTCAAAAAAAAAGTGCTTTAAAGAATTCCACCAAAAAAAAAAAAAAGAGCAAATTATCTGAATATTTTCTATTATTTATGACTAGTAGATGATAATAAAAGCAAACTACTTTAGCTGGCATGGTCGTGGGCACCTGTAATCCCAGCTACTCGGGAGGCTGAGGTAGGAGAATCACTTGAACCCAGGAAGTGGAGGTTGCAGTGAACCGAGATCATGCCACTGCACTCCAGCCTGGGCGACAGTGACACTCTGTCTCAAAAAAAAAGTAAACTACTAGATGCCAGCATTGTTTTCCACCAACATTTTATTGTAAAAAATCTTCACACACACAGAAAAGTTGAAAGTGAACATTCATGTGCCCACCACCTCGATTCTACCGCTGATAGTTGAATAACTTCATCATATTTACTATAATAGCAAACTTTATCATTTGTTCATCTCTCATCTATTGACTTTTAAAAATTGTTAAACATTTTTAGTTTTACTTTTTTTTTTTGAGACAGGGTCTTGCTCTGTCACCCAGGCTGGAGTGCAATGGTGTGATCTTGGCTCACTGCAACCTCTGCCTCCCCGGTTTAAGCAATTCTCCTGCCTCAGCCTCCTGAGTAGCTGGGACTACAGGTGCATGCCACGATGCCTGGCTAATTTTTGTATTTTAAGTAGAGACTGGGTTTCACCATATTGGTCAGGCTGGTCCTGAATCCCTGACCTCAGGTGATCTGCCTGCCTTGACCTCCCAAAGTGCTGGGATTACAGGCAGCTGCCACACTTGGCCCCTAGTTTTACTTTATTTTTTAAAAAATTAGGCCAGGTGTGGTGACTCACTCCTGTAATCCTAGCACTTTGGGAGGCCGAGGCAAGCAGATCATGAGGTCAAGAGTTCAAGACCAGCCTGGCCAATGTGGTGAAACCCTGTTTCAACTACAAATACAAAAATCAGTTGGTGTGGTGGCATGCGCCTGTAGTCCCAGCTGCTTGAGAGGCTGAACCAGGAGAATCGCTTGAACCCAGGAGGCGGAGGTTGCAGTGAGCTGAGAGATCGTGCCACTGCATTCCAGCCTGGGTGACAGAGTGGGACTCCATCTCAAAAAAAAAAACAAGTGGTAAAATACACATTATATAAAATTTTACCACCTTAACAATTTTTAAGCGTACATTGTTATCAAGTACTTATTACTCCATTTTTTTTATGCATTT